TCCAGAGGATGGGTGATGCCCTGGAGAAGTCCTGGAGGCAGGCATGGGAGGAGCAGACCAGGGAACTAGAGAGAAGGAGGTCTTGTGAGGAGCGAAGTATGCGTTTTGGGTGGTACTTGGATATTAGGTCGGTGATGTAGTTTGGGGCAGTATGATGGACAGCTTTGTATGTCAGTGTTAGGATTTTGAATGTGATCCGTTGGGCAATCGGAAGCCAGTGGAGGGATTGGCAGAGGGGGGTGGCGGATACGGAGCGGTTGGTAAGGTGGATGAGTCTGGCTGCCGTATTCAGGATCGACAGAAGTGGGGATAGCCTGTGGTGAGGCAGGCCAGTGAGGAGGGAGTTGCAGTAATCGAGTCGTGATATGATGAGGGAGTGGATGAGCTGTTTAGTGGTTTCTGGAGTTAGGAACGTGCGTATTTTGGCAATGTTGCGGAGGTGGAGTCTGCATGAGTTTGTTAATGATTGGACTTGGGGCTGGAAGTATAGATTGGAGTCAAGAATGACACCAAGTACTCTGGCTTGCGGGGTGGGCCTGATGGTAGCATTGTTGGACGTGATGGAGAAGTCAGTAGGGGGGGTGCGCGGGCTGGGGGGAAAAGTAGGAGCTCGGTTTTGGAGAGGTTCAGTTTAAGGAAGTGGAGCGATATCCAATCTGATATGTCGTTCAGTAGGCTTGTGATTCGGGCAGAGACTGAGGGGGTGAGGTGAGGGGTCGAGAGATAGATTTGCGTGTCGTCGGCATAGAGGTGGAAGTTGAAGCCGTGAGAGTGTATCAGTTGGCCAAGGGAGGAGGTGTAGATGGAGAAGAGAAGGGGCCCGAGGACAGAGCCTTGAGGGACCCCAACAGAGAAGGGGAGGTGGTAGCGTTACAGGTAACGCTAAAGGAGTGTTGTGATAGGTAGGACGAGAGCCAGGAGAGAGTGGAGTCTCTGAGGCCAAGGGAGTGCAGTTTTTTGAGGAGGAGGGGGTGGTCGACTGTGTCGAAAGCCGCGGAGAGGTCGAGGAGTAGGAGCACTGAATAGTGGCCATTAGCTTTGGCGGTTAGCAGGTCGTTGGTGAGTTTGAGTAAGACAGTTTCGGTGGAGTGTAGGGAATGGAAGCGGAAGATTAACCCCGTGGGTTCCCCAGCGAGTAGAACAAGCATGCTTTATTGCATATACAGACAGATTTTACTGTTATGGGTTTAGTAACACTTTAATAATCACTGTAATAGCGCCTACAAAAGTGATTCTCAGCTTCCAAGGGGATAAGCCAGCTATGGCACATGCATATTTACATTGGTCCAAGCTGGAGCAATGTAACTGCAAAAAATACCCACACTTAAACTTCAGATTTAACCCCATGAAGGGAAGTGACAGTCCCTCTATTGCAGTGGCAGATGGGACACAGAGTCAATACCAATGACAAAAACCCAGACCTGATTGACATGGCTGTGCAAACAGAGTAGAGCCATGCTGAATTCAAACAATATTCTAATGCTCATAAAGAAGCACTCCATGATTCCGGTAAGGTATGCTGCATCTAAAACGTTAACCCTTTCATTTCATTGTCTTTTCTTGCATACATCAAAGTGGGACTTTATCCGTAACATCTTGATAAAAATATAATGTTCTTTATGAAGGAGCATACATTCCATATTAATAATTATGCTACCAAAATCAGTGCGTGCTGTAAATTGGCTCCAACATTCTTCCTGTCTCTTCTTGCCAGAGGCTGCCATTTTGCTGAAGCCCAGAACCCCTGAGCAGAAGTAAATATTCAGTCTGTTAGCAGATCGCTCCTCTAGTGGCTCTGATTTTAGACAGAGTGCCAAAAAATAAAGAGCAACTGAGCATGTGCAGAGTAGGGTGGGACAATAGGGTTGATTTACTAAAGGCAAATAGTCTGTGCACTTCAAGTGCAGTTGCTCTAGATCTAAGGGAAAACTCTAATAAAATAATATGCAAGCAAAAATTATGTTTGTCTTGCATGTGCTTGGGTATACTTTGCAAAGTGAAGCTTCCCTCATTTACTAAGCTCTGGAGCAACTGCACTTGCAGCGCACAGTATATTTGCGTTTAGTAAATCAACCCCAGTGTGTTACTGTATCTTAAACAATATAAACACTTATTTTTAATAATTTACATAGCTTTATCTGCAAAAGGGGTCAGCATGAAGTGAAATGATCTAGAAAAATGTATTTTCTCACTAAAATTCCAATTTAAAAATAAGTTCACCTTTCATAACATGTTACATCCATATTCAGGGTGTAACATAGTTAGTCTGGCTGAAAAAAAGACAAAAGTTCATCCAGCTCTACCATTAACATGTAACATGTTATGAATGGACCGGCTTTGACAGCTAGCGGGGGATCTTCTTCACCCGCAAGCTGTCAAATGTTTTTGGTCGCATCACTTATTCGCAGTCCTCTATGAATGAGCAAAATACAAGTTCCAGCAAGCCTTAGGGGCTGTTGGCTTGTAGTTCTCAATACCACAGCGCTGGTGCAAAACTGTACCCATATGAAATTTTTATAATTTTTTTTCACACAAATAGCTTTCTTTTGGTGGTAATTAATCACCACTGGGTGTTTTATTTTTTGTGCAACAAAAAAAAGAGCAAAAAATTAAAAAAAAAAAAAAAAAAAAGTTTTTCTTCGTTTCGATTATAAAATTTTGCAAACAGGTAATTTTTCTCCTTCACTGATGTGCGTTAACGAGGCTGCACTGATAGGCAGCACTAATGGGCACTGATGAGGTGGCACGGATAGGCAGAACTGATGATGCTGCACTGACTGGCGGCACTGATCATCGGGGCACTGATCATCAGTGCCGATCTGTTGTCTGACAATTGCCTGTGACAGCGTGAGGAAAGTGCAGCCGATAACCAGCAACTGTATTTACCCAGTGATCTGCTATGTCATTGGACACAGCTAATCACGTGGTAAAAGGCTACAGCCACAGCAATCACGGAGATCGCCAGGCGTGAGCCGCTGGGGGCGCACGGGAAGGTATGTTTTGGGAGGAAGTCATATGACGCCCTCCCAGGACTGGACAACCGTGCTGTAGCCATCATTCGGCTATAGCGTGGTTGGCAAGTGGTTAATACACATATTTGAAGCCTGAAGATCACTGCGTAAATCGGTGCGCAAATGTCTAATATGTGTAGCACAATTCTTTTTCTTATATGCAAATGGACGCGTTTATGTTAGTGTGTAAGTTGGGGCAGGAGATTAATAAAATTAAAAAAAATATATTTTTACAAACTATCATGTTTAATTTTTTTACTTTATTTGTTGCTAGCACAAGGTGGATGGTAAGCCCCCTATGTGATAACATAGCGCAACTGAAATGTTTGTTTTAAGGAGACATGAGACCCCTAACGTCACCTCTACACTTCTCTGAATCATGCTCAATTAGCTTCTTGCCCAGCCATGAAGGCCAGCAAACCCCGGAGATGACCGCTTTCAGTCTTATTAGAATGTTCACTCATCAACCTTCGCTCTCCATCTTGACTTCTGCCATGGAGGTCCCGGGCATCCAGGAAGGACAGGTAAGTGCAGGACATCTGCCAAAGAAGGGAAGTGGACAGGGGATTGTGAACGGTGGGAGGAGGGTTAGTGGGTGGACCCATAACCATTAGGCAGCCCATAAATGATTCTTTTTTTTTTGGTTGAATGAAAAGAAAAATTACCTGTTTCATCCATCCACACATTTAAGGTGGATGGGGGGAATCAGTCCTGCTAAGCCATTGTGTTCTTACAGGGGAAGACCCCGCCATCAGAATACACTGATCAGCGCTGATGGCTAAAGCTGGCGGTGTTTATCTATCAAGCTGTACAAAAGTCGATCCAGGATGCCTGTATTTGGATCAAAATTTCATGTATGGCTGGCATTAAAGTGGACATAATTGGGTGACTTTACAACTGCCCAAGTCACTTCCACAAGAAGGAGACAGATGGTTCTGATGTGAACAAATTTAAACAAACTCCTGTCTGTTCACAGGCCAGTATTGCCACCAATGTATCCCTTATACTGATGGCACCGACAGGGTAAAAACTGAACTCTGGGATAAATAAATATTGTCTAAAGAAAATAGCCATGCGTATACTTCCTTGAAGCTTGGTGTGCTTTTTGTATTTCTTCCAGATCTGTGCAGTAATCCAGTGTGAAACATTACCTCTATGTAGGAGCTTCCTGTAATAAAGACCGGTCACTGCTGCTCTCTCTCCTTGTGCAGGGTGACTGGTCTTGTCTCCGCCCCCTCCTGTGGTTTTCTGCAGGCAGCCTGTAGTGGGTGGACATGCTGAGGCCCTTCCCCACAGTTCTGCTCTCTGTCCAGGCTATGTAGAACACAGTGATGATGTCACTGCTACTTTTATATGGTGATATCTGGATTTTCAATGAAATTTGAAATAGATTTATATCCTTTGCAGCTGTTGAGGAATATATTTAAGTTAAAGTTTTGTGACCAGCGCCCAGCTTTAGTCCTGGTTCACACTATTGCAGTGGGGAAAACTGCATGTGAATCGAACAGGAATCATACCACATTCCTGTTCAAATCACATGCAATTCTTTGCAGTGTGATCTGAGCCATTCATTTTGTATGGCTCAAATCGCACCCCACCTGCAGAAAAAGGTGCCAGCACCTTTTTTTTTTTTCCGCACTGGAATCAGATCACATGGGTGTTCACACGCATGAGATCGGAGTCAGCCTATCGCCCTGCATTTTGCGAACCATTTTTGGGGTGTTGACACCCATAGTGGTTTGCATGAACAAACTGCGATTGTGATGCAGTGCAGTAAACGCACAGCAATTGCTGCTAATCCCGCACAGCATCAGTGTGAACCGGCACTTAAGGCAAAAGGGTCTATAACACATGAAAAAAAGAAAAACAAGCAAGGAATTTTAAACCCAGTGAAAGCCCACACCACCTTTTTTTTCTCTCTAGATGATGAATGGTCTTCTGATAGTTAAACCTTTAATTATCTGCCAAGAGATGTCAATGAAAACTCACCTCTTTAACGTTCTGTAATGTTTCAGGTGTGATTGTGAAGTCCACTGGACTTGGGGTCAGCTTCGTCTTCTGAGGCTACAGAGACACAAATAAAATAATAAAGATCCAAATCCAGTTGCCCATAGGTTGGCCAAACAAGGCCCAAGCATGAGAACGGTAGGATTTTATTGAATAGAATGGTGTTCACATATGCAGCAGTGACAGCATTCATTAAAGTGGAAGAAAAGCCTAAGGCTACATGGCAGCAGAAAACCGCTGACCATAGAAACGAATAAAGCACTAAATGTGGCTATCACTTAGGCGTGTTTACATGTGTTTTTGCTACATGTAAAACATGCCTAAGTGACAGCCGTGTATACACGCTGCTGCTAAACTCTGATATGTGCATGACCACATTGGCTTTTATTGAGTTGAGTTGAGGGGCTTTGGCAAAAAAACACCAAAACTCACAATTAGGAGCAACAGTGTGCATTAAGGCCTTATTATTCTTAAAAATGCCCCTCCCCCCACCCTCACTTCCCTAATCATCCTACATATCCTGTGTAAAAAAGATCTACATACGTATGTCTAATCCAGTCCGGTCATGTGATCCTACAGCTCTGACTTCCCTGTGTAAGGAAGTACTCCCACAACATCTGTTAATTCCAGGAGCTGTTACCTCACCCATAGGCTTCCATGGTTCATCCGTTGTCAGTGCTCCCTCCTATCCCCTGCAGCAGCCGCTCACTGACACCGGGAAACCTGGGCTGCAGGATCAAGTGACCACACCGGACTGAATTAAAGAAAAACAGGCAAGTACACAGATCTTTCTTACATAGGTTATGCAGAATAAGTAGGATGAGGGGAGAGGGAACATTTTTTAGGACTGATGTTAGGCTTTTCTTCCACTTTTTAAAACAAGCTTAAACACCCATTCATAGTGCATAGCACAAGGCATAAGGACAGTTGAAAGAAGAGCTTGTAATGTGTGTGGCCAGTTTTACACCCACTTAGAATAATTGTAAAATACATTTTGAAACAAAATTAATCTTCACAGAATTAACCCATCATTTCATGAAACCAGCACCCATTTCCAATGCGTTGTTATAACATATTGCAGAGCTGAACCTTTTCCCTTTGTCACTGAATTTTTTTTTTTTTGCTTTTTATTGCATCTTTTATTAATATTAAAACATATATTGTTTCACATAATACAACAGTACATTTACAAGTATCAAAATTCTTACATATAACCCTCACACCCTTACCCCCCCCCCCCAACCACACTCCGCCCCCGAGGTCACCCTTCCTTCTATTAATATCTGTCCTCCCTTTATTACTTCCTGTCCCTCCTCTTCAATCATCCCCCTCATATTCCTCTCAATTCTGCCTCCTCTTCAATCATCCCCCTCATATTCCTCTCAATTCTGCATACTTAGTTGTTTTATAAATTATCCATCTCTCCCAAATTTGTCTAAATCGTTTAATTTTATATTCTCCTATTTTAGGAATTTCTTTACTTTGGCAGAATTTTGGGATCAGGCCTTTAGCTGCATTTATTAAATGAAATATTACGTATTTTTAGATTGCTTCACTGTAATGTCCTCTTTATGAAATATACAAACCCAAGGGTTATTTGGTATTCCAATTCCGGTTATCTCTTGAACTTGTTGAATTATTCCTTGCCAAAATTATTGGATCTTAGGGCATTCCCACCATATATGTGCCATAGTTCCTTCAAACCCACACCCCCTTCCAACATAAATGTGAATTCTGCAGTAGTTGTTTGTGTACTACACTGAGTGTACAGTGCCATCAAACTAGACATTTATAGTTCATTTCTACTATGTTCAGATTTACAGCACTATGTGCCAGTCTAAATATTTTCTTTTTCTCGTGAGCCTCTAATTTTGTTCCCAACTCTTTTTCCCACTTCTCTAGATACAATGGATGTTCAGTTCCCGCTATATTGGTAAAAATCTTGTAAATGCAAGAAGTTACATGTTTGTGTATTATCTCTTGATCGACAAATTGTTCCAATGGGTACATATTCTCCGCCATCCTTAGTGGTTGTGGAATAGTTGTGATAAAAAATACCTCAGTTCATGGTACCGCCATTCATTTAGCCTAAAAAACAAAATCTTTCCTATTTTTAATATTTTCAGTGATATCCTTCAAACATGCATTTTTATCTTTTTATCCATTTACCTCGAATACCCTCTTTCACTGGAAGAAAAAAATCTGTTCCTTCTACTGGAATTAATAGTGAATTATATTCCCATCCCATTTGTTTGTGTATTCTATCCCATTCTCTAATAACATTCCATGTTAAAATACTTATATTTTCTGAGAAAAAATCAATATTGTGGAATCCATATTATTTTATCTAACGGTGACCTACAGTGTATATTCCATTTGTACCCATATTTTCCCTTGTGTATTGTGAGTCCACTCTACTATTCGTGAAGTCAGCACAGAGTGGTAGTATCTCCTAAAGTCCAGCATACCTAAACCACAATAACTATCTCTACATAATACTTCATAGCTTACCCTTGGTTTTTTATTTTACCCACCCAAACAAATTTACTTATTCCTCTAATGATCTTAAAAGTTTCATTAAAGTAGGTAACGTTACTCTACGTTCATTACATAAAATAAAATAGCATATCATCTGCATAAGTTGCCACTTTATGTTCTACATTCCCCATCAAGATTCCTTTTATATCTGTACACTTTCGAGCAGTCACTAGAAGTGGTTCCAGGGAGATAACAAAAAGCAGTGGCAATAATGGGCAACCTTGCCTAGTCCCATTTTACATCCTAAAGAATTGCGATAATGAACCATTAACCTCACCGTTGCTGATGGAAAACTATACAGATTTCTTATCCACTGCATCATCCTGTGCCTAATTCCTAATACTCCCCCAATGCATCCAACATAAACCCCCAATCAACCCTATCAAAAGGTTTTTTTTTTTTTTGCGTCAATCGATGCTATCAACGCCAAACCACTCTCTCTTACTTTTTTCCAAAAGAAGCAATGATCTTAATCCATTCTCTCTTCCCTCTCTCCCTGGCACAAATCCTACTTAATCTATATGTGTCCAGTCTGGCATCAGCTCTTTCATCCTATTTGCTAAAACCTTTGCATAGAGTATGGTATCTATATTTAAAAGTGATATTGGTCTATAGCTAGTGAATTGGTATGGGTCTTTTCCCTCTTTTGGTATAATTGTAATGTATGACTGCAACGATTCTTTCCTCATATCCATCCCTTCTCCTAATGCGTTCATATATTGGCACAATCTGTGAATAAGCCGTTTTTGAAACTTCATATAATATCTTAACGTGTAACCGTCTAGTCCCGGGCTTTTTCCTGTTGTACCTCTCAGTGCCCCATTTATTTCTTCCTGTGAGATTGGTTTTTCCAGGGCCAATAACCTTTCCTCCTCTAACCTGGGGAATCCCGCCTCTTTTAAATAGCACTGCCTTTCTCTTTCTCCCTCTGGTTCTTTCGGGTTACTAGATTTTAGATCATATAAAACTTACTATAATACTTTTGAAACATTTTGGCGATATCAGTGGTTGAGTACACCATTTCCCCATTTTCATCTTTAATTTTCTCTATATAAAATTCCTACTCATTAAATATTTTCCTGGTTTATTCCCCCACTGCTATCTTTCTTTATCCACCTTATTAAAAAAATCTTCTAGTTTCCTGTTCCATAATGTCCTTCAATTCCTCTCGTTTCAATATCATCTGTTGTATCTCCACATCTATTTTCCTTTTATATAGTTGTTCTAAGTCATAATTCCTTAGCTAACAATTTTATTTTTTTTCTCCCTTTCTCTTTTTTCAGCTCCCATCAAGATCAGAATGCCACTTATATACACCTTGTGTGCTTCCCATATTGTCGCCATGGATAACTCTTTGGTCTCGTTAAGCTTAAAGTATTGCTCTCGCTTTCCTTAATCTTATCTCCATCTCTGGGTCCTGTATTAGGGTCTCATTTAGTCTCCACATACAGCTTCTATTTTCTTCCTTTCCCCATTTTAGTCTCGTTATAACAGGTGCATGATCTGATAGTGACATTACTTCAATTCTAGAATTTACCATGGATTCCAGGTGTCTGTGCTCTATCATTATATAATCCAACACTGAATACATCCCGTGTGCCGGGGAGAAAAAAGGTGTAGTCCTTATCCCTTGGATGTTTAATTTGCCATGTGTTCATAAGTTGATACTGATCAAGGCTTTTTTAAATCGATTTTAGACTACTACCTCCGTCCCTCTGCGCCATGTCCAACCATGGGTCCATACAAAAATTAAAGTCCCCTGCCACAGTCAACTGACCCTTTTTAAAATCCATAAGGCTTCTCAATACACCCTCTAAGTAAGCCATTGGATTTTTATTAGGGCAGTAGATGTTCACTAGTGTACATTCAACTCCTTGTAATTTCCCTCTCAAAAACAGAAACCTACCCCCTGGATCTACCATTCTATCTTCTACCATAAAACTGATATTTTATGCTATCCCAATTGCCACCCCTTTTGCTCGTTTAATAGGAGAGTCCACATAAAAGCATGTAGGATAATATTTTGAGAAGAACTTAACCTTTGAATTTTGAGATAAGTGTGTCTCTTGTAAGAACACCACATCCGCCAAATATTGGTGGATTTCCCTAAGAATCTTATATCGTTTAGTCTGGGTATTCAATCATTCACATTATATGTTATAAGATTACACACATTCATCTCCTCTCTTCGTCTATTCTCTTTCTATACAAAAAACTCAGTTGTATGCTGATTGAACAGGGAACAGTTGTATGCCAATTAAAACATAATAAAATTCCTTTCCGGGTGACCTTTACCTTCCCTCATCCTCCCACCACCCTTCCCTTCCCCCCCTCTCACCCCTCCCTCAGCCCCAACCCTCCCCCCTCCCCACTAACCCTTGGCCCATGTTCTAGCCCGGGAATCAGTTGTGACTAATTTAATCTTCGATTCCTCTTCGGGGTAAGACTCTGATCACCTATGCCTATCTGGACCAGTATCTCAAAACCTTAAACTAACACGTCTCGTGTTGAGCCTCCCGATGCCCCTCTTAAGTGGAAAGAAAAGAGAAGGAAAAAAGGGGAGAGCCAAAGGAACAAACACACAATCTTTCCCTTCTTTAATCTCCCCTCCCTTCCCTCTTTTTTCTCCCCTCTCCCTGCCACCCAACCATGTTAACCTTTATAGGCATATATACCCGTATAGGAGGAAAAAACAAAACAAAAAAAAAAAAAAACCACATGCAGAAAAAGGAATAAGCTACGTTTTCTTTTCCTATTCTCTAGAGACCTGTTGCCTGATCAAGCATGCTAGGAAACCCCAGCTATATCGGACGTTCCCCTTGCGCCTCAAGTCCAGTAATGGTTTCAAAACTCTCCTTCTAGCTAGAGTCTCTGAAGCTACGTCCATGAAAATTTGCAAACTCACTCCTCCATATTTTACTTCTGGAATTCCTCGCAACCTCTTCCAAATATTGGCTTTCTCTTCATAATGATGGAAACGCACAATTATATCTCTAGGAACATCTGGAACTACTCCCTAGGATTGTTTTATCCTATGACTATCTTCAGTTGTTCTCTTATTGGACTTCCATTATTGGATTAAATATTTTCCTAGTTTTTTCCAATAGATCTTCTCCCAATGTTACTTCTGGCAGACCTTGAATCCTTAAGTTGTTTCTTCTATCCCTATTCTCTTGGTACTCTTGTCTATATGCCAACTTCCTTTACTCCTTACGCATGTCCTCCACCTGTGTTTCTATCTTCGTAATTACTTGTGCTTGTATCTAATTATTCTTCCATATCTTCTAGCCGAGATAGAACTTGTCCCAAATCATTATGAAATATGGCCATTTCATTCTTTATGGAGTACTCTAGTTTCGCAAACATCTCTGCCATATCCATTTTCGTAGGCATTTGTAAGCTCGATCCTTGTTCCTCTATCTCGCTAGAGCTTTCCATATTATTAGATTCTTTAATCTGACCCTGATTTGATGCTCCTAACAAAAGTCTATTTCGATATCCATTATTATTTCCCAACTCATGCTGCCCCTTTGTTACCTGTTGTCTCAGGGATGTGACCCTTTGGACTTTTTTTCCTGAGGGGGCATGTATTTCTTTATCGTTCTTGATTGGAGAGTTTTTGTTCTTCCTCCTTTAATAGATCTTTACTACAACAATTTTACTCTAGTCCCATCAATAATTTTAAAATTTTGTAAATGAATACAAGAAAGTCCAGGTTAGTGCTCTCTCCTATGTCAGGTACAGCATATCCATAATCAGCTCCTTATTCCTTTTCTTCTGTAACCCCTGGGTGACCCCTCTCTTTTCTTATTCTTCTCCTTACATTTATTTTCCCCAGAACCCCTCTTGGAGCTTCTTATAGCGTCTTAGCATCCACTCCTTTTATACCAAGGCACTATATTGATGTAATTTAACAAGAGGGTGAATTTACCCTCTCACCCGGTACTCCCCCCCCCCCCCCCCCCCACTGTCCGTGCCCCCCTTAAGAGAGGGGCTTCCCGTACTACTCCTGTTTATTTTGCCATTGCAGGGGCGGTGTTTTACTCTCCGAGGGTCACTGGTCTCTGATGGTTAGGGGTCACCTTCCATGGGTAACAGGCTGCCGTCGTCCTGTGCTTTGTCCCACCTTCGTTCCACCACGACACTCAGTGCTCTTCTTACCGCGGCGGCATCCACCGCTCCTCATAGCCTCGCACCGGTCTCCTCTCCGGCAGCTCCCAAGGTGCACTTCTTCCAACACGTGGGTGCTACCGGCGTCCACCGCTTGCACTTCCTGTGGGTGCGTTTGAGATGGCACGTGCGCCTTGCACTATTCCCAGTGGTGCGCATGTGCAGTTCCTGGAGCAACTGTCGGTGCCATCATGGCGTGCGTTCCACGTCTCCCCACACTCCGAATTCTATGAGGCTGCACAGTCATCTCCACTTCTTCTCCATTTAAGGGACATCATACCACATACAGCAAATCTTTTATATCAGTTATGCTTGCGGTATACAGGTCACTGTTTGCACACATCTTTGTACAAGCACCATTTATTTTATTTAATTCATGAAAGTGATAAATGCAACAAATAGCTTTGGAACCCAGCAGTGGGGCTATTTTCCATGGAGGGGGTGTGGTGATTATTTTAATTAGTAATTTTCCCTATATATGGGGCATGGGCATTCTCTACCATCTTAGCTTTGAAAAATGGAGTTCAACTCCCAAAACGAGTCAGCTTTTTCCCACCGGGCACCATCATCACAGGACTCCAGTCGCGTGACATTGACCCATTTGCCTTCATGTTCGTTTTTTTACATTTGTTTTGTGAGTATCCATTTGTTACGTTTTTAATAAATTCATTTGTAACCACGGTAATGTACGAGAAGAGCACATCCTTTTGGGTTTTTCTTTTGCTATTATACATCTTATGATCTGAGAGGTGTGCACCATGTGCTGTTCAGCTTAAATCTCATCAGCCCCATTTTGGAAGTGTGGTGTTATTACAGGCCTGGTATGTTTTATACCTACCCTTATTATTCTTAGTTGAAAATGCATACAGCCATGATATGGTGTTTATTCTAAAACAATCATATGCATATAGGCAGTCATGGCCTTTACACCCTGGTCACATCAAACCCGACTTTGAAATAGTGCAACTTACAATGAAGTCGCACAATTTCAACGTTGGATGATATGTTGATCTGAGGTGCGAAATGTACTACTTTAGAAATCGGTGCGGCTCTGACCAAGTCGGAACTACACCGATATGACCGCTCTAATTGCAGACAATAAAGTGCGACTTGGCATGTGATTTGCAAGTCACATGGCATACAAATCGCATGCCAATTCGGATCCAGTGTGACTGGGATTTAGACTTGCTCTCACGTTCGCCCCAGGGGATCTTTCTTTGGTGCCTCACTGTGGTCTGGCTTTTTAGATTCATTCGGTGTCCTGGGGTAAGTGCCAAGTCAGTCATGTACAATGCACCCCATATTATGTTATAATAAGCTGTATTATTATTTTTTTGATATTACGTTGTATTTGTATATTTTTTGCTTTGTTCTAGAACTATATTCCCTCAACATCCTCCTGAAGAAGCAGGAAACGGCGAAACATGTTGAGATTGGCTGACTACAGACTCATCTTTACTTTGGAATAATGGCTTGTGGGTGTGAGATAGCACCATTGGTGTGATTGTAATACAGCTTATTCAGGAGGGATTTTTAACCTCCCTGGAGGTATTCACGAGTGTAGCTCGGGGTAAAGTTTCAGCACCAAAAGCGGTAACCCCGAGCTACACTCGGGAATACCCTTCACTTACCTTGCCCTTCGCTCCCGTGATGTCCCCCCTGCAGCGTCCCTGGCAATGTCTTCCAGCCGATGCCGGCATCTGTCTTTTGGGTTCCGTTCCCTGCAACATCAGGACGTATGGGGACGGAACTGGCGGGAAATTTTAAAATGTCAAAAAGTGACATTTACAAAATACACTAAAATCACATAGTAAAACATTCCTGTATCAAACCATTTCACATACATTTTGTCTCGAGTGCTTTGTCCTGTGCCCTGCCTGCATGTCCATGGCATCCAAAAAGTGTCCCTTTAGGTCAAAAGTGGTTTTAGACCAGCTAGAGAACAGCGATAGTAAATTAGAACTACTTGCAGAATTGAGTGATAATGATTAGTGGGGAAATTCGTCATCAGACACTGAAAGCGACTTTGTTCAGTGATGTGCGAACTTGGCGCTCTATTTCAAATTACAGTGCTTTTGGTTTGATTATATTGTGGAAATAAATTTATTATTATATTATTTTTTATGATTATTTATTAAATTATAATTTATGATTTCGTGTTTCAAATTTTAAACATACCCGGGATGTTTACTAGACTCTTGTTCAGACAGATTTCAATGAGTTATTCCTAAAAATTACAGGCCTACAATAAAAAAAACTACATATTTCCATGCAGAAAAATGTACCGCTTTGAGCACAGAAATACTGACATAATCAGACTGGTAGGGAGGTTAAACAAGCAATGCTGTTTTAATATGATATCTTTCTATAATAAAAGTATGAGGTTTTAACAGTTAAATGTCTGTCTTAGGAAATCCTACTGCCCCTATTGCTCTCTAGATCTTTTGAATAGATTATTAGGATGCAGATACCTTAACCTTGGGATAACACCCATCAACACTAAGCACTTACTTTTTGAAAGGTTTATTCGCAATAGATAGGAGTGAGCAGTCGATGCTGGGTATATATACATGAGGAGCGATACTGTATTACACATCTTGTGAGTGTTAATCTATTGCAAATAAACTGCTTCACTTTAATACTGCACTTACATGGCACTTTGCCCCCTTTATTTTGTATTTCTTTACACAGAGCTGGCCAAACTGAGGATAGCTGCCGCTGATGCCGGTTAGTTAACATGGATGGACACTTTATGGACATTATTACTTCTAAGTGCTTTTAAAGTGTAAATACATGAAAGCTGGGCACTGACTCTTTTTGCGCCAGAATACTTCTATTCTTATTTACTGTCAATCACAGCCTGTGAGTCAATGAGGACAGAGCGGGGGGGGGGGGGCAGGGTCAAGTCCGTGTGAAAGGACAAAGAGCGGTGGCTCAGGAGCTCAAGTGTCCCCATAGAAAGCTGGAGGGAGGGGACCCAAAAAGAGCAGGATCGGGGTTGCTCTGTTCAAAACCATTGCACAAAGCAGGGCAAGTATGATGTTTTGTATTTTTTTTTTTTTTTTTTTTTTTTTAAATATGCCCTTAATATCACTTTAAGCATAACAGACTCTACAACATTATTTCTCCATCTGTGTCTAGCTTTGCTGACACCTCTGCACAGCACCTACCTGTGAGTGGATGATAAACTCACACGTTTTTGTCAAGTCTTTGGCCAGCAGAGATCGCTTCATATCACAGCGGAGGGTATACTGAAAGAAACACAGGACATTCCCAATATCACTTACAAATGGCTACATACGGAAGCAGGAAACACATTTTTAGCAGAGTGGGGAAGGGTTAATTTTTCTAATTGTGTTTTTTTTTTTTATTGCCATTTATGCTGGCAACAAATGCACCACTCAGTTCTCATAGGGAAGTCACAGGAACAGGAAGTAATAGAAAACCTCCCTAATGAGGATGCAGACAATAACGAAACTTTGATAGCAACATAAAACTGTATTTTTGTCTATGTGCTCCTTGAAGAGATGTCCCATAGCGGTCTGTCCTGACAAGTGAGGAGAAATTTCCTCAATGAGGACACAGATGGTAATACGTCTGCTCTATCCAAAACTAAAAAATGTTTTGACTGAAGTGGGACTTTAAGATATAAAGACAAATTCTTTTTTTTTTTCAAATTTGGATAGAGTGGTGAAGGATTAGAACCAGTCAGGTATTATTGCTGTCAGTGTTCCCATCAGGGAGATTCACTTTCTCCAATTGTCCTAATCACCAATGTCACCAAGAATGGAAGTGAAAGTAAATCGAAAATTTTGATTAGCCACGAAAGCAGGGAGGAAATCTTCCAATGGGAACACTTGTTCAATAAAAGCTATCTGAGAGGGGATATCCTTCACACTGGAAAGATATCTGCTTTAGATTTTCCAATGAAACAGTACAGAAAAACGAGAAAATCCCTTCTTTATTTCTTGCTTTCCAGGTTCTCTACTGCCCTCCTAATAGAAGCCCGATTTGTGGGTGTTTCTCAAATTTAGATCAGGCACATTACAGTTGCCACTACCTCTGTTCCGAAAGCAGATGTGTCAGCTAGAGTTCTCCCACCCAGTTCCACCCCCTGTCTTTTCATTGGTCGCTAGGACACAGGTACAATTGATGTAGCCAAATTACAACTATTTTGAACAGTACAAATATTCACCATTTTTCCACAGCATAGCTCAGTTGTTGATTAACATGTACCTTGATTTCTGGGTTGCATGGATTCTAAAATCAAGGACACGGAGTGGCCTGACCACCTGGATCTTAGCAATCATTTTTGGGTGAATTATATGTTTTTAGGCTTCATAATGCAAAAAGATGCAGCTTTGTTTGTGTCTCTGTGTCACATTTCCTTAGGGCAGATTCATGCAAGATGTGGTAGGATTGTGTTGGGCAGCTATTCCAACGCAGTCCCACCATATGGGCAAGGGAAATTGCCTGGTCTCCTATGCGATGCAGCCGTGTGCGGGCACGATGCCCTGAAAAAAGTATTGCATCTCAATAAAGTTCATTTCGAAGACAAAGGAAACAGTGCGATCCACCGCACTCAGTGCATCATTCATCACTGTGCTCACGTATGAACCAGCCCTTACTCTCTGTGATCAGAATGAACATATTCCTAGAACACAGAAGGTACGGAAAGCTGCCTCACTCACCTGGATGTTGACAAACACTCCGTGGTACGTCTCATACAGGACCTTATTGCTCTTCATGACGAGGGGGAATTCAAAAGGAATTTCTGTTTTACCATTAGGAAGTTTTCCCGGCTTCACCATCTCTATAGTGCTGGTGATGATTTGAATTGGCTGCAATAAATCAATCACTGTATTTAGTGACCTAATACTAAAGAAAAAGGATTACATAAACCTCTACAGGCTGAGCAAAGACTAATGCTAAAGCAAAATTGCAGACAGAAATAAAATAACTGACACAGCTGATTTTAGAATGCATTTTTATCTGTATCTGATATCTGCATGTGAACATGTAGTGGTGGCCTGGCGAGTTTCTCTACAATCAGGCACTTTTACTGGGCTCAAAAAAAGATGTTAGGCCAGCCATAGACAGTCTGAATGTACCCAAGTTGGATTTTTCATGCAATTATTGCCAGCGGCTATTAGAGCCGCCAGCAGTAATCACTGTGTTCTCCTAAGTAGGACGGCTCCTCCCACCGGGAGAACACAATGGCTCCGTGGAAGGGATTCCCCAATCAATACTGATTGTGTTGATAGGGTAATCAAGCAGTTTTCTTTCCTGCAACCCCTGGAGAAAAAAAAAAAAATCAGAGCAACCAGTTAGGTGTCTTTTTAGGTTTTAATTATTTTATTGATTATATACAGTATTTTCAAAGCAAGGTACAGTATAACACCACAACATACAGAGGTTGCATAAAGATCAAGGTACACACAGTGGTGAAATGCAACAGTTGGTTGCCTGGGACCTACTAGATAAATTATGAACTTCCCAATCATGGGCACAACATGGTGCAATTACTTGTAATGGTCCTCCAACAAGGGGTAAAGGGGAGATATACCATTCAAGGGAAAAAGAGGAAGGGGGGGCAGGAGTATCGAGAAGAAACAAGGAAAGGTGTGTGTGTTGTTGGGGTGTTAAAAAGGATAAGGGGAAGCCCACTGTGCCCCAGGTGTGGCATGACTACTGGCACCTTCTACCACCTCCTTTGATCGTGTCCTGTCATTCAGGGTTATTGGTCCCAGATGGTCCAATTTCTTCACAAACGCATTGGACCCCCCGTTGACTCTCTGCCTGAAGCAGAGTCTACCGGGACTTCTCCCTAGTTCTGATAAATTCTTTCATATCTATCTTCAGGAAATCCTTTTTACAGCTAGATTGTTAATTGCCCAGGCTTGGCTCAGTGCATTACCACGAACACTCCAAGAGTGAATAGCCGCTGTAAATCACACGTTACTGTACAAAAAGGTAATTTATACTCACAGGGGATGCTCTACAAAATATCATAACATATGGGACTGCTGGATGGAACATTCTGCTACTTGCACTGAAGGGGAGAAAACTGACACTATCTTACACTTCAAGCTTTTTGAGGTCTCTGTCATGCATTGGCTGTAGATATTTTGCTTGCCATTATGTCGATGCCTATACATCTGATTATTTTCGATATGCCTATATACTCCTGATTGCAAAATCTGAGGGTGTACCTATCCTCTGATATGTACCCCTGAATTATTCTACTATGGTTGTATCTCCTATGTTTACTATAGCTTTTCATATGTATTGTAATCCTTTGACTTTTTTAAATAAAAGTTATATTTGATTTAAAAAAGAAAAAAGAAAAAAGCCCAAACTGTTGAAACATAGTGTGCATTTAAAAATCACAACATGGTCACAGGAAATAAAGCCATGATCACGGATGATCTGTAATTTATAAACCCTATTTGACCGTGTAATAAAAGGTTTACTGTTCTGAAAAAAAGATAAGGGGAGGGGAGATGGGAAGAGGAGTGAGTGGGACAATGTTTCCTGCAGGAGATCAGGCTCAAAACTAAGATGGAAAGCATAGGTAGCCAAGGACAGAGGGATTCAGAGAGAAGGGCATAATTAAGCCAGGGGTTCCAAATCTTGAAGAATTTGGGCTGTGAGTCTTTGAGGATGCAGGATAGTTTCTCATTAGCAAGCATCCCATTCATGTGCTCTTTTACTTCCTGCAAACTGACTGGATTTCTTCCAGGCTTTCAAACAGGGGTCTTTTTAACCTGTACTGGGAAAATGAACGCCCCAAGAGGTCCTGTGTCTTCAAGGTTGAATGGTGTTCAGAGACAAACTGAGAACACTCTGTGAATGCAGGGTATCATGGATGAAGGTTGCTGTGGGGCTATCACCATGGCCCCCTGGAATCACATACACAGATGCAACAAAAATGGAAACTGATGCACCACACCACTGCTTAAGGGAACAGGTACAACTTTATACAACTTAATAAAAATAAGGGGGACAATCCAAAAAGTAACCAACACATTTCGGGATCCAATAATGCCCCCTTCATTAGGGCTGGGAAAAACAGAATGACATCCCCATATCAATATATACGATAATGGATTGATATGGAGATGTCCTAAAGTTTTTTGTAGCCCTGATGAAGGGTGCACTCCTGGACCCCAAAACGCTTTGGATACTTTTTGGATTGTCTCCCTGACTTTCATTAAAATAAATTTTCTTTCTGGACCCCTTAGAAGTGATGTGACACTTCAGTTTCCATTTTGTTACATTACACTACAAGCCAAGGAGACCATGGAGATTCTCTGGACCCGCCTTTCTCAACTTTTTAAACACAGAGGAACCCTTGAAATAATATTATGGTCTCAGGGAACCCCTGCTAAAATGACTATCTACAACTCATGATACATTAGTGTCATGGTCATTGGGAAGAATGCTCTTTACACTTGCGGTCATTGGAAAGAACTACCCCTTCACAGATGTTAAAGGATCAAAGGTGTCAGTGAGAACTTATCTGAGAGGCAGAAACTGCCCATTGCTCAAGAAACCCCCTAAAAAGCTCTAGAGGAACCCTAAAGTTCCACAGAACCCTGATTGAGAAACCCTACTCTGGGGTTGAGAAGCTGACTGCCCAGGAACCAAATCAATTACATTACCATCAATAGTTTAGGAAAGCAATAACACAGAGACAACCCTACGGGTCCAGTGCTATTTGTCCACTTTTCTCAAGATACACAGATGCATTATTGAGGACTGTCCAGTAACTAAGACATGAAGATGAAAAGGACACTGTGTGAAGGAAAAATGGAGCATAACAGTCTCTTATAGGAAACTTACCTTCACTGAATTGTAGAAGGCCTCAAAAACACCAACACTCTTTGCACTAAGCTGCAGATTAACAGACCCTTCCATTGTCAGAGTGATACCTTGATGCTGAACCGTGTCCTTACTCATCACCACCACTACTCCTGATAAGACTTCCTAAAGAAAGAGCAGACAGGTCAATCCTTTGCACACACTGTATGATACAAGAATTGGAAAGCACAGAGAAGCGTTGGCCAAAATGTATTTTCCAAAACTCCAGACAAACAAATCCAAAGCTTTATCAGCCACCCCATCCCACGTCTGTCATCCTGGCCAGATCCTCGACACCCAATGGACTGGCAGCACAGTCTGGTCAAAATAACATGCCCAGCATGCTCATTAGACAATAACAGAGAAGCAGCAGCACCCTGATGAGTTATTACTCTACTCAAGCCCCAATTGGCATTTTGCCCTACTCTCCTTCTCTCAAGTGCCCCTGTACAGAAGATAACAGGAAGCTGATACGAAGACAAACTCAGGTAATTGCAGCTAAACTTTCTCTATTACCCAGTTTATAAAGCAGTAGTACAACCTTATCGTAGCCATAGCACTGTTGCAAAAAAAAAAAAAAAAACCCAGCACATTTACACAGCACAGTGGACTACTTCAAAATGTGCATTCTGCTCTGCTTGCTTTGGGACTCCATTTCAATAAATGAATGAAGGAATTAATAAAAAATAAAAGCTGACAGGAGAGCCTTGACCTGTGAAAGTCATATGACCAGCCTCTTCTCCAATCACAGCACTTTCTCTATATTCTCTGGGACACCGTGGCCCTCTTTACTTATGCATTTTATGAATGGCATTGCAGTCATGGAGTGGACTAGACATTATGTCTTTCAGCCGAGAGATGACAGCGGTATCTGCTCTCCACTAGAAATAGATTTTAATTTAACCCCTAGCCTACAGGGCACTTATACCCCCTTCCTGCCCAGGCCAATTTCCAGCTTTCAGCGCTGTCACACTTTGAATGACAATTGCGCGGTCATGCAACACTGTACCAATATGAAATTTTTATCATTTTTTTGAGACAGATAGAGCTTTATTTTGGTGGTATTTAATCACCTCTGGGATTTTTTTTTTTTTTTTTTTTTTTTTTAAACAAACCAAAAACTGAAAATTTTGAAACAAAAATGGTTTTTCTTAGTTTTTGTTATACAGTTTTGTAAATAAGTGATTTTTCTCCTTCAGTGATGTGCGCTAATGAGGCTGCAGTGATGGGCACTGATAGGCTGCACTGATGGACACTGATAGGTGGCTCTGATGGACACTGATGAGGAGGCAGTGGTAGGTTGCACTGATGGGCATTGACAGGCATCACTGATGGGCACTGAAAGGCAGCACTGATACATGACACTGATAGGCGACACTGACTGGCAGCACTGATAGGTGGCACTGATGGGTGACATTGAAAGGCAGCTCAGATGGGCACTAATATGTGGCATTGATGTGCACTGGTATGCACTGATATGTGGCACTGATGGGCACTGGCACGTGGCACTTCTGGGGCCACACTGATCATCAGTGCCCTGATGATCAGTGTACATGTCCCCTCCGCGGAAAGCCGATTACCGGCTCTCCTCTCCAGCTGTCAGCATGACAGCTCGAGAGGAGAGAAATGCCAATAACCGGCATTTCCGTGTTTACATGTGATCAGCTGTGATTGGACATAGCTGATCACATGACCGAGCCGACATCTTCGGCTCTGTGATCCGCTGTGTCCGAGGAATACAGCGCACTGGCAATCGCCGCGCTCATATGACATCCTATCAGAACGAGAGAACCACCTTGCGACCATCATTGTACTATAGGGCGGGCGGAAGGTGGTTAAACTACACTGTGTGCACAATTATCAGCCAAGTTGTATTTTTGAGGATTCATTTCATTATTGAACAACTACAGTGCTCTTGGTCAATCCAAAATGTTAATAAACCTCAAGCCTGAATATTTGTGAAAGTAAAAAATGAGGTTTTGGCTTTCTTTGTAGAATTTCTGTCAAAAAATAAAATGTTCCATGGACTCAACATGCCTCTCTGCAAAATCCTTGGGGTGTCTACTTTCCAAAAATGGGGTCATTTTTTTTTGGGGGGGGGGGGGTTTGTTGTACTGCCCTGGCATTTTAGCACCTCAAGAAATGTGATGGGCAGTCCGAAAGTAAAAGCTACATAAATTCCAATATATATATACACCGTACTTTGTAGACGCTATAACTTTCTCACAAACCAATTAATATACATGTATTGAGATTTTTTTTTTACCAAAGACATGCAGCAGAATACATTATAGCCTAAATTTAGGACTGAGTTTATTGGATATTTTTTATAACCAAAAGTGAAATATATTGGGTTTTTTTCAAAACTTTTTTGTTTATAGTGCAAAAATTAAACACCGCAGAGGTGATCAAATACCAAAAAAAGAAAGCGATTTGTGTGTAAAAAAAAGGGACAAATTTTGTTTGGGTACAGCACTGCACGACCGCGCAATCACCAGCTGAAACAGTGCAGTGCCGAACAGCAAAAAATGGCCTGGTCAGGAAGGGGGGGGGTAAATCCTCTGGAGGGAAAATGGTTAAGGCCTTTACTGGCTAGCCATGCAGTGCAGTACTTTGATGCATGTGATGGAGCATTGTCCTGCAAAAATATCATGGTCTTCTTGAAAGATGCAGACTTTTTCCTGTACCACAACCATGAGGGGACCCGAGAAGTGGAGGATCGGAGCTGCTCTGTGCAAACCCATTGCACAGAACAGATAGATATAACGTGTTTGGTATTTAAAACAAAAATAACGTTAGAATCACTTCAATGTTAGTGACAGACTGCATCACGTGTCATTTTTCCTTTAGCACCACTAAGCATGACAACTATAATGTGTGCTCTGACATACACCACAGTTTCCATTCAATAACATGTAAAGCATCTGCCTATATCTGTCCCCGGAGTTAACAGAAGACACTGGCATCCTTGACTTTTGTAACACAAGTATTTGAACCAATTGCTGAGCACTGTATCATTGTGAAGCTACAGAACAAAACGGCAAATCTTTCTGGAGGTACTGCAGAGATGCAATCCAGCTTTTGGACAACAGGTGGAGCTCAGCAAGTACCTTCCCATGTATTCATTGATCCAGCAACACTTTAGTTGTCTTCTAGTGTATCTAAACAAACATTTCTTACATGGATTCTGAAAGCTGCATAGTGGCTGAAAAATTCTAAAGTGAAATAAAATTTCAAAACTATCTATGCCATCGTTTTTTGTTTTTTTTAGAATCTAATTTGACTTTCCATGAAAATACTTGTTGATCATGCCAGCGAGGTGTCCTCTTAGGTTAGCAATGACCACAATCTGCAGGTTCATCTAGGCTCTGCAGTGTTGCCACTGCTTTGTGTGTGCTCTGCTACTCCCTATCAACTAAAGCAGGGGTGTCAAACTCAATTCCATCACAAGCCACATCAGCAGCATGGTTGCACTCAAAGGAATGGTTCCATCTGGGGTGCGCTGCGTACAGAGTGCAAGGCTCAGGATTATGCTACATACTGAGAGCAGAGTTCAGGACTGCTTTACGTACAGGAGTGCACTATGTAAAGTGTACAGAGTGCAGGGTCTAGGGGTGCGCTATGTACAGAGTGCAGGGTCTAGGGGTGCGCTATGTACAGAGTGCAGGGTCTAGGGGTGCGCTGCGTACAGAGTGCAATGTTTAGGGGTGCGCTGCGTACAGAGTTCAGGGGTGCGCTGCGTACAGACTGAAGAGTTCAGAGGTGTGCTGCTTGCAGAATTCAGGGGTGCGCTACGTACAGACTGCAGAGGTGCGCTATGTACATCGTTCTGGAGTGCGTACAGGGTACAGAGCTCAGGGGTGCGCTGCGTACAGAGCTCAGGGGTGCGCCGCGTACAGAGCTCAGGGGTGCGCCGCGTACAGAGCTCAGGGGTGCGCTATGTTCTGAGTGCAGAATTTAGGACTGTATTAAGTACAGAATGCAGAGTTCAGGGGTGCTCTATGTGCAGAGTGCAAATTCAGTGATGCCCTATACGCAGAGTGCAGAGCTCAAGAGTGAGCTATGTGCAGAGTTCAGGAGTGCTTTACGTACAGAGTGCACTACCTACAGAGCGCAGAGTTCAGGGTTGCACTACATACAGAGTTCTGGAGTATGCTATGTACAGAGTTCAGAGGTGCGCTACGTTCCCAGTGGAGAGTTTAGGGGACTGTGTTAAGTACAGAATGTAGAGGTCTTTACGTGCAGAATGCAGGGGTGCTTTATGTGTAGAGTACAAATCCAGGGGTGCGCTATGCACAGAGTGCACAGTTCAAAAGTGCTTTGCGTACAGTGCAGGGTTCAGGGGTGCGCTACAGAGTGCAGGGTTCAGGGGTGCCCCATGTACAGAGTGCAAGCTTTCAGGGCCACTACCTTCAGAGTGCAAGGTTTAGGGGTGCGCTATGTACACAGTGCAAAGCTTAGGAGTGCACAGTATGCAACCCAAACCCCCCACCACAAAGCTTCCTCACATCTCTACGGTCTCCTACCTGGCCCAGGTCTAGTACCTCCCTGTGTGGGCAGCTCTCTCTCTCTCAGATTCTGGAGATCTGTTCCCGCCATGAGTGTGTGCAGGGATCTGTTGGATCCAGGGACCTCTGACAGCAAAGCTGTCCCTTGTAAACACAGCAGATTCTGTGTTGACAAGGGACACCAAGGATCGGTAGGCGAGACACCGAAGCTCCACCCATAAACCTGAGCTTCAGATGGAGAGCACTGGAGCGGGGAGCATGGCAAATTCTCCAGCTTGTTTTGCAAACATCTAAACATAACAAGAATGTGACCCATTGCAGTGTTGGGTTCACTAGAACAATATAGAGAAGGACCCATGCTCTCTGTGTGAAAACAGTAGTCTCTCTGCAGAGGTCCAACACCAGCCTTATGGAGTCAGAGCTATAGCGGTCCAATCAGAAATGTTTTTGCTCACTGATTAGGGAGCTCTAGCTCTGATCCAGCAAAACAGGGTGTCAGACCTCTGCAAAGAGACTACTGCTTCCATACAAACAGCAAGGGGCCTTCTGTGCGCATGCTAGCAGGGGACAGGCTTTTCTACTCGAGCTGTGGCTGCTTTTTAAAAGAAACGTGGCTATAAGCCTTGGAACACATCGGTTTTGCAGCACCCGTGATGTATTCAGCCTTTACTCAGTAGGCCACACATGCAAAGTTCAGGGGTGCACTATATATAGATTCCAGAATTCAGGGGTGTGCTACGTAGAGCTCAGGGGTGTGCTGCGTACAGATTGAAGAGTTCAGGGGTGCGCTACGTAGAGTTCAGGGGTGTGCTGCCTACAGTTTCCAGAGTTCAGGGGTGCTCTGCGTAGAGTTCAGGGGTGTGCTACATAGATTGCAGAATTTAGGGGTGCGCTAGGTAAGAGTTCAGGGGTGCGCTACGTACAGATTGCAGAGTTCAGGGGTGTGTTACAAAGTTCAGGGGTGCGCTATGTACAGATTGCAGAGTTCAGGGGTGCACTGCGTACAGAGTTCAGACTACAGGGGTGCGCTATGTACGTTCAGGGGTGCGTACCCCTGCGTACTACAGGGGTGCGCTAGGTACAGAATGCAGACTGCGGGGGTGCGCTACGTACAGAGTTCAGGGGTGCACTATGTACAGATTGCAGAGTTCAGGGGTGCGCTATGTACAGATTGCAGAGTTCAGGGGTGCGCTACGTACAGAGTTCAGACTACAGGGGTGTGCTGTGTACAGTTCAGGGGTGAACTACGTTCAAAATGCAGACTGCAGGGGTGCGCTACAGAGGTCAGGGGTGCGCTACATAGAGTTCAGACTTCAGGGGTGCGCTACGTACACAACTCAGGGGTGCGCTACGCACAGAATGCAGAGTGCAGGGGTGCGCTACACACAGAATGCAGAGTGCAGGGGTGCGCTACGCACAGAGTTCAGGGGTGAGCTATGTACAGATTGCAGATTTCAGGGGTGCGCTACGTACAAAGTTCAGGGGGTTCACTACGTACAGACTTCAGGGGTGCGCTACATAGATTGCAGAGTTCAGAGGTGCGCTACGTACAGAATGCAGACTGCAGGGGTGCGCTACAGACTTCAGGGGTGCACTATGTACAGATTGCAGAGTTCAGGGGTGCGCTACATACAGACTTCAGGGGTGCACTACAGAGTGCAGCTGGCCACACGTGACCTCTCCAGGTACAGAACATTCTAGTTTCAGAACAGTGTCAGCCCCTCCTCTGTGGTCACCTTACCCCCTCCCTGTAGACTTTATTAGCCCTCTTGATCTTGATGTCCAGCACAGTCCCCATCTCCTCTGTGTGCTTAGAGCGCTTCCTATGGAAGAAGAAAGTCACATGACTGGCCGCGCACATGGTCACGTGGCATAGCTCCTCCGACCCATTTTTTTTTTCCCCATCAACCAGCTTTATCAACCAAAACCAAGTGAGTTGCCCTGCCCACCCTGGTTACCGTGGCGACGGGGAGTGGGCGGTGACGTGGCGCTGGTGGCGCAGTTAAATTAGAAATGCGCGGGAGAAACGGGGGGCTGCCCCGCGCGCTGACTCATGACAGGGATTACCACACGCTGGCCGTCCCGTGATGGCGGCTCTGAAAAGAGTCACAGCGGCTGTAAAATATTCCATTCTGGTTGTGTTATCATACAGCATTGATGGAGAGAGAAGAGAGCGCTTCCTCCCCTCAGGCTGTGTACTGACGGCGAATACAAAGCACAGCGAGCCTGCTCGGATGGGTCAGGGCTGACTGACGTATAGAACAGCCGTGTGACGCACGTTTATTATTCCCCAGGCTGGCTTCTGCTTCTTTTCCCCCCTTTCCTCCCCCTCTTGCTAGTGATGCAAGCAGGTGAGTAATACGGCCCGCTGTCTCCATGGCGCTCTCCGTCCTGTTACCTCACAACAGCGCCCGTGCTGAGGCGGCCACACGCAGCCAACCTGTGAGGTAACGGACGGCCCCGTGCGGCGGGGTTTTTTTTTCTTTCCTCAACTCGATCTGAAAGTCTATTGGTCGAGAAGATGCGAGTGGCGGATCCTATTGGAGCTCTTACGCCAGGGGGCGTGACTTCCCCAGAAGTTCTCCCGCCTGTTGTAGAGCTCGCGCGCTGGACAGATTAACTCTTCCGCTCCTGTGAGGCGGCGCGAGCCTTCCACATAAACAGGCAGCCCTTAAAGGGGCAGTGTACCTGAAACAGGGATGTGGGAGACCTGCTAACGTTTGTGAACGTATCCCCACCTCCGGGTGAACTTACATTCAGCACTCGAAGGTGCTCAGTTTTTTTTTTTTCAGCTGCAGATAGTTATATTTAAAAAAATGCACACTGTACCCAAGATGCAGAGTTGTAACTAAAAGTTGCCGGGCGTACCTGACCCTATCCTGTCATGCAGAGTGTGTGACTTCAGCCCTTTCACTGCCAGAGCCGGGTTTTTTTGCAGTTTTTTTTTTTTTTTTTGTGCACGTTTGCAAAAAAAAATAATTTCGGGTCTGAAGATTATGTGTCCTAATGGTGGCTCTGTCCCTCTGCCCTTGAGTCACAGCGCTGTCCCCTCAGATTTTCCTCACACTCTAGAGCAGCGGTTCTCAACCTGTGGGTCGCGACGCCTTTGGGGGTCGAACGACCCTTTTACAGGGGTCCCCTAAGACCATCAGAAAACACATATTTCCGATGTGTAAAGAGCAGCTACTGTGTAGAAAGCAGCTGCTGTGTTGAAAGCAGCTACTCTGTTAAAAGCAGCTACTGTGTTGAAAGCAGCAGTATTGGAGGTAAAACGACACTCATGAATTATAATTACTGGGTAAATAATTTTATGGTTGGGGGTCACCACAACATGAGGAACTGTATTAAAGGGTCGCGGCATTAGGAAGGTTGAGAACCACTGCTGTAGAAGCTTCACACAGGCTCAGTCTTTCTGTTTGGGATCACCCTGACCTGCAGGTGCCTGGTCCTGACTCTCTCTCTGTCACACTTTGAGGAGGCTCCTTTTTCTGGAAATCATCTGGTTCTCCCCTCCTACTGCAGATTGTTCCAATACTGTTTGCTATGAGAGAAGGGAAAGAGAGTACACACACCCAGTTCTGTCTTGTGTCTAAACTCTGAATTGCTGACAGGAGGAGGATGGGGGGGAAAGAGACACAGCTACAAAACACCCCCCACCAAAGAACCTTTGGTCCTCAAGGGAGGGACAGAGTCAATTTACATAAACATCTTAAAATAAAAGCTTTAACGTAAATGAATGGCTAAAAACAAGTTAACGTTCACATGAACTCAGATAATGCTCATTGACACACAAATTTGTCAAAGCAACCTCCCACCATTTGTCATAAGGGGTGAGGTTGTCTTGTCTATAAACCACAAATACTGGGGTGGCCCAACTAGATGTGCCAAGGGGCGCGTTGGAGTCACCCTCCCCTAAATCTGTGGTGGGAAGGGTCACTGTTCCATGAATTCTTTGAGAAGTGAGAATTACTTCCACTGAACGTTCACTTAAGGTATTGTAAGTCAGTCTTTTAGGGGAGAAAACTGTTCGCTTTTCTCTTTGTTCTTTGGGCTGGGGTGATTCTGGTACAACTGCCTCTTCTTCTGACGCTATCGAACGTTGAGCAGTTTGTGTCCTCTGCGGTCAGGGAAATAGTGGGGTCATCTTCACTTGCCACTGATTGGCTTTGTGGTATAAATTTTGGAGCCAAGGCCTGAGGGCTTCGGTATCTATCCCTCTAGAAGGAATAGGAGTGGCATTTTCTGACTGTAGATGGCCACAACCAGTCTATGCCCATTTCTTCTTCCCAACTGTGCTCTTCACCTGTGTTTGGTGGCATAGATTAAGACCTGGTTATTGGGCGTGATCTTTGAGAGGTAGTTTGAGTAGGTCGTGGATCTGGTTGTTGATGCACACAAACTGCTTCTGATAGGGGCAATAGTTGATTATGTTGCCAGGTCTTTAGTGGGCCTGTGCTTCCTTTTGGGTGAATCTGGTATACTGGCAATCCTTGTAACTGCTTGCAGCTAATATAGGGCTGTGGCGTCCAGCAATCAGCTAACTTGTGTTTTCCAGGGACACCTAGATTCCTCAGCAACACTATCGCCAAGCAGTATGTCATGTACCCTTACCTTCAGGTCAAAGTTTCTTTTATTTTGCTGCCCCTGGGTGTCTGAGGAAGCCTGGGCTTTATCATATCCTGTCTTCAGACTCTTCCTCAAATGATCCACATATCTTCTGTGGGACATCATCGAGTTATGATCTAAGGAAGTGCCGAATGCTAGGTCAATTGGCAATCGAGCTTCCCCCCCAAAAACATCAGCATGTATGTTGAGTAATTTGTGGCTTCATTTTCATTGCTGTTATAGGCATGTACTATAGCTGCAATGTGTCTGTTCCAGTGTTGTTTCTTGTCAGCAGAAAGAGTTCCAAGCATTTCTAGGAGAATTAATAAATCGTTCTGACTGAGGATCCCCTTGAGGGTGGCAGAGGGTCGTTCTTGACTTCTGAATGCCCAGAAGATCTAACAGTCTCCTAATAAGTCTACTCTCAATTCTCTCCCTTGATCTGAGTGGATACATTGAGGCAGGCCGTAGTGGACAAAAAACGTCTCTACCAGGATTTTGGCCACAGTAGATGCTTGTTGCTCTTTGATTGGGAATGCCTTGGCATACCAGGTGAATTGGCTGGTTCCCACCAGGACATTTCCCTGTCCACCCTAGTCAGGCTCCAGACACAGAAAGTCAATACACACCAACTCCATTGGTGCTTGACTTTAAAGATGGCACATTGGAGCAGCTCTGCTGGGCAGAGTCTTCCTCTCTCACTAATCTGAAGGTTCTTTCAGGTCCAAAGTGACCATGATTGTCATACAGGGCAGTCAACACAGTCTCTCTGTTTTTTTTGGCAAGAATAGTTTCCACTTATCTTTGGGATCATCTGAGGGGATTCTTCAGTAGACCACCCCCTTGCATAACTGCAACCAATCCCACTGTTTGTGTACTAGGCATGCTTCTCTCAGAGTTTGTCAGCAGCAGATCTGAACTTTGACCTTCCAGGGCTGTTAATGTTAGATTACAAAGGGGTCCTCCGTCTGGTCCTTTCTTAAGTCTTTCTTTGAAAGCTTAGGCAGGTCTTTGTCCCTTAATTGAGAAAGGTCACGGTAGTATTATTGGGAACACCAGCCAGTGAAACTCCAATAGCTTCATCCCCTGTTGCTCCTCTGGCCCTTTACTCTGCTCCTTGACACAAGGCTTGTATCCCTTCAGATGTGAGTTGAATCCACTCTTCAGAGGAAACCCCTGAGTCATAGGGTCTTCTCGATAGGGCATCAGCATCTCTGTTCCGAACCCTGGACGGTACTTTAGGCTGAAGTGGAATCCCGATAGGGCAGCCAACCATCTGCACTAGGTGGCATCAGCTTGTCTGTGGTGAGTGTATATGTGAGCATGTTATTGTCCATTTTGACCACAAAGTTTGCACCATACAAGTAGTCCTTCAACTTATCTGCCACTGCCTACTTCAGAGCCAAAAACTCCAACTTGTATGTGGGGTAGTTCTTCTCTGCAGATGTAAGACTTCTGCTCACAAAAGCAACAGGCCTCAGTGTCCATCACGCTATATATCATCTGCCTAACTCATCTTGACTGGTATCATCATTCAGTTCATATGAACTAAGCATAAGCTAGTACAGAAGCAGTCATTAACGTGTTACTAAATCCAAGACCCTGCATTCACTATATCTGGTCTCCCACAGTACACATAACATGGAAATGTAATTATTTTAGTAAATATAAACTGCCAACTACCTTTTCTCATCAGCAGTCTTGGAGCTTCTATCAGTGTCCATCTGAGCACTGGTTAAAACTTGTAGGAAGAGCTTTTATTCTGCTCTGACTATCCTAGGAGGCTGCATAACCCGACCCTCTGTCTGGAAAGTGCCGATTGGTCTTGTGCTGATCACATGCACCCTCCCAAAGAAAAAAAAAAACCTCTAGCAATGCACACCAAACTGAGCATGTGCAGAGTGACTCCTAGAGCTCTATAATCAGAAGATGGATTGGGGACAGTAGAAGAAAGGGAGGATCAGAGAAGACAGCCTTTTTTATACAATGCAGAGGATTAACCCCTTAGGTTACACTGTGAGTATTAAGCAATATGATAGTGTGACAAGGACACCCCTATCTGAAAAAGAAGGTTTCTAGATGATCCACGCGGAGTAATATGAATTCAAAGGAATTTTAAACAATACTTTATTTGATCACATAGATCATAGGGAGGTTAAACATGAGCACGGTGTACATATGAAAAAATAAAATCATGTTAAAAAACACTTAGCGTCTTCAATTTAGGGTCATCTTAGCCAACAGAGCACCATATAA